TGGTCTTGCTTTTCTTTCACTTCTGACACTAGTGATGATTCAGCCTCATTCGTCACCACTATTCCTCCTTCTGTGGAATCCATCAGTCGGACTCCTAAGCCTGCAAGTCTATGCACATCTTTTGCTAACTCTCTATTTTCTTCATCAACATGGGAAATACTACCCATAGACAACCTACTCAAGGCATCAGCAACAACATTAGCCTTACCTGGGTGATAGAGAATACTCATGTCATAATCCTTGAGTAATTCTAACCACCTCCTTTGTCTGAGATTAAGCTCTTTCTGGGTGAACACATATTGAAGACTCCAAACGCATTCTTGGTGAAATCTTGGCTTTTCTCCCTTTCTTTCTTCCTTTCTCTTTTCTCCAAGCCCTAAGCGTGAATTTAATTTTACTAATCTGACCAATAATAAGTTTTTACCCCAAATAAATCCTAAAACGAATTAGAAAATAAATTAGAGAAGAGACTACTTTGCTCTTCCCTAACTCCGGATTGGGACTTTCCTCAATCCAACAACCCAACTTCCGAAAGGCATATCTTACTCATATGATGTTGAAATCGCGCAAACTTGGCGGCGTTGGAAAGATATATCCAAGGGATTTCCAACATATTAAGATCTTCTCCTAACTCATCATGATCTAAGAGTTATGGCCTTTTGAAAATGGCCAAAATTCACTTTCTTAACTTATACAAAAATTTCCAGATTTCTTTATTCTTTCCAAAAATTAATATTTTCATATTTTAAACTCTTTATAGTCGTTTCTAGGTGCGAGATGTTACATAGGCACTTAAACTTGTATAAAATTGAACAAGTAGACACAAGTGTCCTACATGGCACAATACACATAGGACACCATGTAGGACAGAAAATTGCCATATAGGGTCCCATGTAGGACGAATGTGTCCATTTGCTTAATTTTATACAAGTTTAATTGCCTACTTGTGCACATCCAAAGATAAAGGTCATAGTTGTCAACTGACGTCAAGTTAATGGTCATGTTTATGCATTATGCCAAATCATGAATAATGCATGAGTCTTATAAAAATCAATAGAAAATCATGTAGTTTAATCAAGACATATATAGAAAAATTGAAATTGAACAACTAAATCAACATCAATTAAGACCCATGAAAATCACATGAAACCCTAAGCAATTTATGAGAAATTGAATCGGAAAATTTGAAATCCTTTGGGACCCATTGGATGAATGAAATTAAATTCAACATACCTTGAAGAATCCTAGCTTTATAATTGAAAGAGGAGACTAGGATCTTGAATATCCCTTGAATCTCTTGAAGTCCTAGGAGAAAACTTGGAGAAGAAGATTGGAGATATTTTGGGGTTTTGAGTGAATGGGTGGATTAGAATCTTTAGAAATTATTTATACTCATTTAGAATAGGTAAAAATGAAATAGTAGGGTTAAAAGAGTGGGAAAATACCTAAATAGCCCCGACTTAAAAATTGTTGAAACACCCTCTATGGAAGCCTTTCACTGACCATCAATCGCTTCACCGTCCGTCAACTCATCTGTAGACCCTTGCCTTAGATTATTTTCCATAGGTTTCAGGTCCATGGATGGGTTCACTCACCGTGGAACCTTTCACCATCTGTGAACATGTCCGTAGACCATTACCATAGATTTTGTTAACGTGTAGAGTATGAATAAGAAGGAAGTTTATCACAGTTCACACTCTATCACACAATAATAATATGAATGATGTGAAGTATTTCCTAAAACGTTTGATAGACTCTTATTCATAAATGTGGTACGCAACACAACTATGAACAAGACTCTACTTAACACGACTTTCAGACATTCTAGAACTCTGGTCGTAACATGGTGCCTAGAGCCACGAGTGACCCCAAGCTAACCTTATGGTCTGGCATGACACCAAGAACATACAAAAATAAAAATAAAAATACTGAAGATAACGAAAATACTAATATGGAAGATAATACGAAAAGAGTTTATTTATATCGAATAGACAAATATCTGATAATCCATAAGTTAAATCTAAACTAACTGTCTGAAAGACTCTACTAAGATGAGTTGCTAGGACAAGCCCCTAGCTGACTTTAACTTTTTGAATTTGAAAGAATAATACTGAAGTAAAGATAGAGGTCATCCTCGAAGAATGATGACTCACCAAAAATTATTGCTATGCTAATTGAATTTGTACTAACCACAACCTAAGTGTTGAATGTTTGAGCCTATATTATCAAATAATATAGGTAGAAAGTATGCAGTTAGTACATTGAATGTACTGAGTAGGATATGCATGATAACATGATAATTGACAATTGTTGGGCTATAAAGTCATATTGATACATTGACCAAGTAAATAACATAAAATTCTAGTAAATATTGTAATGATATAATTGATTACTTGGTCATGCAATAACTGGAAGACTGAAGTGTGGGAGTACTAAAACCGATATGTAACCATGTGAGATACTACATGTAGTTTGATGTATAATCTCTACCAAAAGGGCACAATATACTTTGCTAAGGTGTAAAGGCTGATCTGAGTTAATGTGGATCCAATAAGCTAATGTCTATAAAAGACTAAGGAGTCAAGCCTCAACTAACGGGTGGCCCTTATAATCATATGGTAACACATAGTTCTGGAACATAGGGATTACTACTAAAGGGTGAGCTTTCATCCCTAGGTCTGCTCGGTGCCAAGTAAACTCCCAATGGAACCATGCAATCAGATAAAGAAAGTAATAATCTAATAATACTGAGTCATACTGATAAACTGATAATGACTAAATAGCTCTTGAATACTGATAACGTGGTATATACTAAAAGATACTCTATCTGAAAACATCTTTAATCATGAAATCGGATAATCAGGAACATGCATCCGAAAGAACACAAATATGAGACAGGAAAATACTTATAATACGGGGTTCATGAAATACATTTAACAAAATGAAATTTATAAGTAAAATCATGCAAGAGAAGGCTATACATGGAGAGGAATTATATTACATTGAAAATACATGCTAAAAATAAACCCTAGGTTTTGTAGAAATCATAGATTGAGGAACTGAGATTTCTTTGGGACTCAATGGATATGATAAGATATCCATGATCAAATCCCACATACCTGGAGTAAAGACACCAACTTAAATTGTTGAATAGATACTTGAAGCTTTGGATCCCCGATTCTTGCTTGAAAGGAACCTTGAATGAAAGAAATCTGATTTGGAGAGTTGTGCGTGAAAGGGGAGGTTAAGGTCACTAAATTTTCCTTTATACCACTTAGAATAAGTTAAAACGAGATAGTAATAGGGATTATGGGAAAATGGCAAAATGAGCCCGCATGGAAACTGAGATCGGCAGGTTCTACGAGGGCACCTACAGGTCGTAGCTCCTTGTCCATAGAAATCATGTTGAAATATGAACTTTTGAATTTTGATCAACGGGACACATTTACGAGCCATGCATGGTTCATTCTATGATCAGTAGAACGTTCGTAGTTCTCATATGAAATTTTAAGTTTCAGGACTTAGATCTAGGGGACCATTATTTATGACACATAAAAAAGTTTACGACCCATAATCCTAGTTCATGACACTTAGGAAAATAAACCTATTTATGAACTTCTATCTATGAACCTCATCTACAGTTTATGGTTCCATTTACGGATCGTAGAAGACGTCCTAGTTCTCAAAAGTTCTGCAGAATTAGATTTTTTTTCTAAACTTTCTTGATTTGCTATTGTCCTAAAAATTTTGGGGTGTCACATTATTCCTAAATTATTTTTCTTGTCTTCCAAGTAAATAATATGTATAGGAGAGCATATTTTTTTATTAGGTATATGTGGAAGTTCCCTTGGTTGAAAAACTATGAAATATGAGTTGTAGGGTTAAACTTTTGCGTAAGAGTCCCTAGCCTACCTATAAATACGTTTCTGACTCTATAAGACTGGCATTATGGGCCTATAATAGATGAAACTATGGTTTTCATTTACTGACTTACAAGTTGGTGCTAGATCAACGACGATTTCGACGACACTTGAACAACTATGGCGGAAGGTACGTTCCAATTTATTTTTCCATTGCATTTTGGCTCTGCATATATATTTTTCTATATTCTGACTATATATTGAACATAAAAATCATATGAATCGAGTGTTCATTAAATTAGTTTTAAAGCTTATCAACTGAATTCATTGGTATGCATTTTTTCATGTGCTTAAATGATTCGAATTTAATTGGGTCCGATAATCTAACATATAAATACCATATGAAACAAGTAGATCGTTAAATTTGTTTTAAAGCTTATCAATCACATTCATAGGTATTTTTTCATGTTCTTAAATGATTAGGAATTAATTGGGTGCTGATAAACTAACATAGAGATAGCATATGAATAGAGTGGATGGTTAAATTGGTTTTAAAGCTAACCAATTGAATTCATTGTTTTGCTTTTTTTTTACAAGTGCTTAAATAATTCAAATTTAATTTGGCATCAATAAACTAATAAAGAAAAGATATTTTACTATAGAGAAAAAAAAGCAAAAAAAACAAAAGTCAAACATGTCCTTAGAGAAGTCAAATCATGTCTTAAATAAGTATTTGGTCAAAGATTCACTCAATATTTTTCTCTCCAAATTTAGAACTAAACAATTCTTCAAATATATGTATAGGTTTCATTATTTTTTTCAGATGCATTTAACAAACACAAGGAGGAGAGTCTAAAAGATTCATTTTGATGGCGGCGCTCAAGCACACTGCATACCTCAACAATGAATGGACTCCTGAAGAACAATCTGTTCTTGAAGAATTGCTCGCCAAGTAAGTCACTCATCCTATATTTGCTAAGAACTATAGTTTTCTCATATGAATTATTATTTGTTGCTCATAAGATGATTTTAACATTTGATGTCATGTGATGAAACACATAGAATTTTATGACTTATTAGATGTTGATAAGTGGTTGAGAATATTCACCATCGAACCACCGATAGATTTAGGGTTTGAGTCACCCTACAGGGTAGGGTAGGTGGGAACACTATTGATCTTCCTGGTATGAATGGAAATAAAAAGGTTGTTAACTATTTCACTATTACTATTGGTTATTTGATGGTATATATGACTAATCGCTATTAGACACTTTTCGCTTATAGATTGTCAAATAATACTACTTCCAAACCATATCTATTACTTTTTTACTTTGGATTTGCTTTGTTTAGTTTGACGAATATTATGCCTAATCTGACAGTGAAATACTATTTCTGCAGATACTCATCTGACAGAGAAATGCATTGTTATGTTCAAATTGCGATGCACTTAAAGGACAAATGTTTACGAGATGTAATATTCAGATGTAGATGGATGAGTGTAAGTCTTATTAATTTTAACTATTTCCCAACTATGCATAATAACTATGTTTAAATGTTCTTTTCCCTTTATTGAAGCAGCAAAATGGGAAGCAAGGAAGTGATGATATTTCAAGGAAAAATAAAGACAAAAAGGTGTATTCTATAATTGCAGCACATAGTTCTATATATTTCATTTTGCAAGTGTGTCTTTGTTGGACAAATTTCACACCATTTGAGAAACTTTGGTGTGATTGAAATCTTAGAATTGCAGACAATTGTATAGCTATATGCATATGACATAAACAAAAAGGTTGATGTGCTTAAACCAAAAGAGCAAGTGTATGTAATATATGCACACATTACATATTTGTTCAATATTCATTGTTCTATAATGTTACCCAAGCTAAGCCTACAATTAATATGTAGAGATTCAAAAAAGAGTATGTCTTCTGTTATTTTATTTTACTCACCATTTTAGATAAATTCTATACATTTAGGGGTCGTTTGGTGTGAGATATTAAAAATAATAGTGATGGGATGAATTTTTTTTATCTTGTTTGGTTGCCATGTTTGGGATAACTTATCCCACCATTTATAACATAGTGATGGGATAAGTTATCCCATATACATGGTGAAATAAGTTATCTCAGGATAACTTGTTTCCAACCAAACGACCCCTTACATTTTAACTCCCGGTAGATTACCTTATGCAGTCTGCACCTTCCAAATAAATGAAACAAATATTTGCTTCCAGTCTCCTCAAGTATGGGGAAAAAAAGGAAAAACATGTTGTACATTTATTGATTTTTGAACAATAAGTTCTTTTTCATGATTTCCTTGTTTTTTGGTTTTAGGAAAAACTTACAGATGTTATGCCAAAATTAACTAATATTGCAAATCAAACAAATGCTTCTCCCAATGCTCAAGCTATTTTGCCAATGGACAGTGATGGTGGAATTTTCTACCAAGGTTGGTCGTTTTGCTCTGCTTTTATTTTTAATACTCTAGAGTCTAGTAGGACATTTTAGAGGGAGGTATACATTTTCAGGAAGATGAAATGAATAGAGATGATAAAAGTATAATCTCGTCTTGATGATCAAAATCAAATCGTTAAAGTTGTTCTGATAACTATAATATACATACAATGTTTCAGCATTATTTTTTTGATTTTTTTTTTGTTTTGGACAATCATGCCTGAAATTTTTGCAGCCATTGGTGGTCCCATAGGGCAGCTTCTTCAACAAAATGCTCAGGCATTGGATCAACTTTCTGCTAACTTTGGCGCCGCTTGTAAGGTCAGTTGATGATTTTGAGATTTTCCAGTACACCTGTCTCACCCCTTTTATCTGTGATCTATGACAAACATTAATAATGATATCGTCTATTGTTTACACTAGTAATAAGTTTATTCCATAAGGAGAATATATGATTTTTATTGTTAAAGCATTATTTTTTTTGTGACTGATGCAGATCCAGGAAAACATCAACCTTCTCTTGCAGACTCAAAGTAATATCTTCAATGTTGTAAATAAGTATGATTGATTATCCTTCAATTCTCTCTCTCTCTCTCCCCAACTATATATATGTTTGCGTATCTTTACTAAAGTATCCGTTTATTTTTGCTCTTGTCATTCTCTTTTATCATTATTGGATATCTGATACGTCCAAACTTACACCATAATTAAAAAGTATAAAACGGTCAAAGTCAATAATAGAACCCAACAAGAGTTGGGTTTGATCCCACTGGGAATGGAGAAGAAAATATATCTACTAGTTCTTATCTTCAGTTGTGGTTGAAATTTCCAGAAATAGAGTTGCGTAAAGTAAATATTGGGTTTGTTTTAATGTCCAAGTAATTAGTTGTATTTAGAATCAAATAGTACAGTAACATATGACGGTTTCAAAGTTTGGTTATTGATTTAGAATAGACTAGGATTGTGTTCTCCATGACTTTTGGACTACAACTTAGATCTCATACGAATAACAGTCTCTTGATACAATGCATACATGATTTAGCAAGACCAGTACACGCATACACTTATCAGCCCTATCAGGTGAATATCACTCATCTCCTTTCGGTCTTAGAGTGTTTTAAGTTTTAACCCTTTCTTACTTGTTTAGAAACTACAAGACCAGTACACCTATACGCTTATCAGCCCTATCAGGTGAATATCACTCATCTCCTTTCGGTCTTAGTGTGTTTAAGTTTTAACCCTTTCTTACTTATTTAGAAACTATTCCCTCTCGGGCTCAAGTCTTCAAAACAAATTATTCAATTGTAGAGTTCATTCATTTCTTACTTTTCCTAATCAAATACTTCTCTCTCGAGCAAGTAATTAATAAACATAGGTCTAACGCGTGCACTTGTTAGAAAGAAATCAATGCAAAATTAGAAACGAAGCTTGCAAAACATTAATTGATAGTCATTTGTGGTTGATTTTAACGTTACTCCCTAGTCATGGTTCCCACAACCCTACTTGTGGTGTTTAGCTGCTCATGTTCTTAACCAAACAATTGTTAAACATTGATGAAAGTTTAGAAGTAATAGACTTACAATAATGAAACTTGATTAAAAATTCGAATCCCAAGATCAAACTTGGATCGACTATCCAAAAGATAAAACTAAAATAGAAAGATATCGTCTTTGCGATGAAAAACTTGTCTCATAGTATCGATGATAAAATTAAATTAAACCCTAAGTAATTAATTACAGTATTCAAAATAAATACTAATCGAAGTAGGAAAGTAGTTCAGTCAACAACATTCACGGATAGGTAAAATGGCTCGTGAAGCTTTTCACGATCCGTTTAAACCTTCAGTGATCCAACACTTAGAAATATTTGCTTAGTTTCAACTTCATCTTCCCACGAGTCACTGTACGGTCCGTCTGCATCTTCACGGCTCATATAGTTTAATTTCACTTGCTTTTTTCCTCCTACAGTTCATGTTCACGGTTGGGTTCACGAGTCATATACAACTTCAAGGCTTGCCTGGCCTCTCGTCCGCAACAACTTTACTCTAATTTCAACCTTACGGTTGGGTTCACGGGCCGTATACATCTTCACGGCCAAATTCTTTTAACATCTCTTTTCCTGCACATTAGACACAAGAAACATCATATCTATAAAAACACGCTCGGTTCCTTGCAATAATCCATTGTTTTGGGCATCGAAAGTTCACGATACATCAATCTTCTTTCCATGCTTTTTGTCACAAGAAACATCATATCTACAAAGAACTACTTCTTTCCATATTGAAAATAAAAAAGATAGATTGACCAACATTTTTGGTAAAGAAAGAAAAACTAGCTATCTGTCCATAAATTACATTTATATTAAAGTATATTTTTTTGTATTATATGCTCAGCAAGGTAAGTAATTTCTTAACTTAGATCTCTCGATTTTCTTTCCACTTCATAAAATGCTAAAATAAATGATCTCTTGCAGCTTAAATGACATTTCAGAGATGAAACGGATGCCTCCACTCCCTGTAAAGCTAAACGAAGAGCTCGCCAACTCAATCCTTCAGCAACCACAACCAGTCCAAGAAAAATCATGAGTTCCTACATTTTGTTCCTGTGTCGGGGCTTTATAGAGATGCTTCACTCAAGTTTCTGAACTTTCAATTACTTAGAAAACATTATACTTGCACCATGTTAATACTGTTTTTCTTCCTTTTTTTATGCAATGTTTCCTCAATGAAGATTGTGGCCTCTCATATTTTGAACACATTTATTAAATTGGATGTAGTTAGTCAAACAATATGGTATTAAGAAGTTTAGTTGTACACATGTAAGTGTTGGGTTTTAAAAGGTGTGAATGGAAAATCAAGAGTTGCGACTTTTATGAAGAGTTGTGATTTTTACGAAAAATTGCGACTTTTATGAAGAGTTGCAACTTTAGAAAAAATTGTGCCTTTTATGAAAGGTTGTGATCACTAGAAGTGGTACAATGGATAATTTATATGGGTATCCACTCAAATTTACCCATTTTAAATGGGTTGGTATCCAACTCATTTGAAAATGGGTAAAATCGAGTAATACTCATATTTACCCATTTAAAAGTGAGTAGTTAAATGGGTAATATGGGTAAAAAATGTTCATTCATAAAAGAAAGAAAAGTGATTAGAGGTGGGTGGTAAAAAAGCTTTTTAAATATTTTTTTTTGAGATAGGGGGAAGGGTGGCGGTGGGGGAGGGGGGTTGAT